GACATAATTGGCATATCAAACGTTTTTTAGTAAGAGCGTGTTCAGGATCCAGCATTTCCTTGATAAATCTAATCAACATGTTTAAGGTGCCATAAATGTTTAAACATGTCAGTTACACTAATAACGGTTCTGGCAAAATTGTTTTGCAATTCTTAATATTACTCACCAAAGAATGAATTAATGAATGAATGTTGTAGAATAACTAAATATTCAGAGTCCGCTAAATAAAAACAATGCTTACATTCAAGTGTTCGCATTTATTCTTTATCATATACAGTATTGCGGTATCAATAAATCTCGTAATCCACACACCCTGTCGACTGTTTACTTATGCAAATCTAAGCACGATATATTTCATCACATGATCGAATACAGGACTCGTTGCTGTATGTCACGGCTACTTGCAAGTGTACAAACGTTAACTTTTGAATGATAGTTTCTGGGATGTTTTTGAAGTGGAATTACCCCTACCTCCATTCGAAATTGATTAGAAAAAGAACCCATTTGTTCAGATGAAGTCCCTTTACCCAACCTCGGTATACTGATTATGCAAAATACAAAACAGGAAGTGATGTAAACAATATAATCCACACAGCCTTACTGCAGTTAGATTCACTAATGACAGGTACTTTGTTTACTGAACTCGGTAAAGAAAATCAATCCCTTGGGAATGCCCGGAACCTACGATTGTGGGTTTGAATCCTGGTTCGGCCCAATTGTTTTTAGGTTTGTCAGCATCATACCCGTGCTCGTGGGTTTCACCAAAGAGAAGACCTTTATCGCTTCGGGCTTTCCTCCCATACAAAGCTGACAAGACATGATATAACTTGAATACCCTCAAAAACAGCGTTAAACCTAACACACTCACTCACTCCAAACCCGTACGAGAGATTTTTTGTCTTTTCAAAGTTGAACTGACAACACAACATATTATTGCTCTAACTCTTTGTGTAACTTTGTCACCCATGCCTCGCTTTTGTTGAGCTAAACATCAAAGAAATGACATGTGTTTAAGCTCTCTTCCCCACTTAAATCCACACACAGGATACAGATTTTACCTTCACTGCCTCAGATTAGTAATCGATTTGTAGTTGTTTTTTTCCCCCAACAATTCACTGTACTGCTCCCCAGTTTTTGTGTATCTCCAATTTCAGTTCTATTCAGTTGTAGTGAATGTAAATATAGATTACATTACACAAGTAACAAGATCAAAGACACCACACACTGTGCACAAAATTGCCTGCATTATTTTCTGACAATTTACATAAGCTTCTTTTCCATCTTGGCCATGAGCAAAATATGGTTTGTTATTGAATGTTTTGTTGACTGAAACTGGTAACATTGAAACTTGATTGATTCGATTACCAACAAAGTAGGAAATGACATTTACGAGCCTTTGAAGTCCGTGAGATGAAATTGCTTCCACATCCATGCTGCACCGTATTCTTCTGTGAGTGAATGCCAGCAGCCAATCAGATGATGCTTCATATTCATGCCCATGTTTGCCCCTTGTCAGATTTGTATGTATGTATATATTGTGTGTATGAGCCGCTCCAGAATCTTTAAACGTGTTACATTGGCAAGTGGTTTGATAATACGGCTCCTTTTGTTTCATTTCTGAAACCTTTTGCCAAGAGCTTGGTGTATTTGCACATGAGGTTGGTGGCCAACAAAAGATCAAAGGTATGCAAAGAGAGTGCTCAGACAAAGCTGTGTCCCTACAAAGCAAATAAATAGATTTAGGAGGCCAGGGTAATATTGACTGAATGTGGGAGCATGTTGCTCTCCTCCAGGCAAGCAGCCTACAGTCATGCAGCTCACTGCGGCCCACACAAAATATATTGACCCGTAATGTTTCAGCTCTGCCTCAGCTCTGCCGTACAAACAAAACTTCAAAGGCAGAGGTTTTTATGGCTGGTCTGAAAGAGGGCTTGTTATTGAGAATTTGTGTGTTCGTTCGTATCCTTGCTATTTCCCTCCGCCATAATCCATGTTTATTAAAAATCAATAGGCTGTAGCTTAGAGAGGAGCCCTTTTTCTAAAATATTGCCGCAGCGACAGTATTGAAATTGGCAAAACAGTTACATTCCTCCTTGGATTGTGTTTGCTGGCAAAGGTTATAAGTGTTGCTCACTCAACACAGCCTCTTACATGATGTAAGAAGATTATTGGAGGAATCAGTATTAACATAAGCCTAGGCTGGCGTGATAAGCAGCACTTGACAATAACAACAGACGAACAGCACAGGCACTTTGAAGCTGCTGCTCAAATAGCCTTTCATGTCATGCACATATTAATGGTGTATTATCAAAAGCTTGCAGATTTCCAAGTGCTTCATCACTGCAGATATTCTACAGTTACATGACTCATCTTCATACATGCATTCCAAACTTTCTCCAGTGGAAGGAGCTTATATTCGGTTATTTTTTATATATTTTTTCATCATTTAGCCCTTAAAAACAAATGTCAAGAAAACAACTTTTGTCTTCTCTTTTCTGTGAATAATAACTATGGGTTATGGGAATTGATTAAAGAAACTAATTTTTATGGTGTACTTAATAAGTAGTGTGATATGGACACAGGCATTCTTTATGTCTTCAGTCACATCCACATCAAATTAATTGTGGCCATTAATGCTGCCTTCAAAATGGTTTGAAACAACAGTTTACTAGAAAATCCATATTTAGTTTTCAACATATTAGTTCACCAGGAGCTCACCAAAGATAATGATTACAAATGTCTTTTAAGCATCATTATCTCCAATGGTGATGTGAATGAAAATCCTTCAGCTCAGCCTTGACTTTTTATATTTACATGAATGTTTCATTATGTTAGTTACCGTAGAAATGAAACAATATCACATCAACATCATACTATGTTATCACACACAGATCAGATTACACTGACCAGCTAACAACCACTCTATCTTTACTATATGACTGAAGATTTCACTTTGTATCACATTCAGCTCACTTTGAATGTACCTCATGAGCACTGGTGCCTTGGTACCTGCAAACATGGAGATCCATTATGTCAATGTACTGTTGTGGTCCTGGCAATACTTATTGGCACCATGGTTTTATGTCAGCATTGCTCTTGTATTTCACATCAGACAACATTATAGCTAAAATGGGAAGAATTATCATTAAACCGCCCGCGTGTTATCAGAAATCAGCGGGCCACTGCAACTTGATAATGCCCTCACATTGCTTGACGACGGGCCATTATCACGCCCGTTGTTAGGTGACGTCATGGGGTAGGGATAGGTGACGTCACGTTCAATAGTGACGTCATCTGGTTTGTTCTATGACGTTTCCATATTCGTAAAAGTGGGTCAGTGACATTTGTGTTGATTGCGTAAATGTTTCAAAACCGATATTGTTGCTTCTTTTTATTTGATAACAAATTCCATCCATTTTAGCTATAATAACGGTAATGCTATTTTTCAGGGCATTATCATTTGCAGAAGCCCTCGGTCTTTTTAACTGCCCTCCTTCATCGGGGCAGGTAATGGAAGACCTCGGCTTCTGCAAATGATAATGCCCTGCAAAATAGCGTTACCCTTATATTAATGGAAGGTACTAAGCGCTTAGCAAGATTAATTTCTTTCACTTGGTGAAAACAGCCTGGGAAAAACATTTATGAGTCTACTATCCCCAAGTTGTCTATTGGCATCATTTTTACACAGTGTTGGTGTTATAATGTGGACCATTCTTAGCTAAGCTTACTAGACCAAACCAACTTTACTTTACTTTACTTTGGTTGTGGACGAGTGGATCAAGTCGCAGACAGTCATCAGCTTGAAATGGTATTGTCTTCAATCTGTTGTGGCACTGTCTAAATCATCCAGGTTACTGCCTCCATGTCTAGTGGTAGAGTGTCTGCCCAGAGAGCAGAAGGTTGGGGGTTTGATCCCTGTCTGTGTCATACCAAAAGAAGTTAATAGATTTTACTTGTTGTTATAACCCGTGAAGATCCGGTTTAAAATAGGTCTTCAGCAACCCATGCTTGCCATGAAAGGCAACTTTGCTTATCATAAGAGGCGACTTACGGGATCGGGTGGTCAGACTTGCTGACTTGGTTGATGTCACCGTATCCCAAATGGGTAGATCGATGCTCATGATGTCAATCACTGGATTGTCTGCTCCAGCCTCGATTATTTACAGACCACTGTCATATCGCTGGGATATTGCTGAGTGTGGCGTTAAGCAACAAACAAACAAAACAAACTTGTTGCTACCATGTCTGGCACTCCACACTGATGAGGTCAAAAATGGACTGAGACAGACAGATGTGTGCAGGACCGTCACTATACAAGTGCAATAATCTTGAACGAGACATGAAACCTCACCACTACAAAATGTTAGCGAATGAACTCTCTTAACTCCTTATACATGTATCTGTAAGCAAGATGGTGAGATTGTTTTCTTTTATTATCCCCCGCCCAACGAAGTTGGCGGGGGATATAGAAACGGGCTCCATCCGTCCGTACGTCTGTCACGTTTCGTTTCCGGAGCATAACTCATAAACCGTTCAATATTTTTTCATCAAACTTTGCAGGTCTGTCAGGTACATGCTGAACTGGTGCCTTTTGCTATTGAGAAATTTAGAATTTTTTATTTTGTAAATTTCCAGGGCAACAAGATGGACTTAGGTTCTGTGAGGGTAGGGTTCGTTTCCCGAGCATAACTCATAAACTGTTCAATATTTTTTCATCAAACTTTGCAGGTCTGTCAGGTACATGCTGAACTGGTGCCTTTTGCTATTTAGAAATTTTTACTTTTAACGTTTCCATGGCAACAAGATGGACTTAGGTTCTGTGAGGGTAGGATTCGTTTCCGGAGCAGAACTCATAAAGAGTGGGTAAAGAGTTGATAAACAAGAAAGTTCAATGTTATTGAATTACATGTTTTAGGACATTGAGATGAATGTTGGCAAATGAAAGGTTTTGTGGAAACACGTGTTTGGTTGCCTCTGAGTTGCTGCTCTGTTTCTTGTAGAGATGTCTTCTTATCAACAATCCAGCCACAACGAAAGCATGTTGTGATTGTAGTGGATCATGGCAATGCTATGAGTATCACCCAGTTGCGCACAGCAAAGGCTATTGCATTGCATCTGCTGCAGTCCTTCTCCGAGAATGACCGGGTAAGTACAACTCAGTAACTCATAGGAGTCACAATCATCGTGTCGTGTATGCTTATAAACTTCAGTATCTTCAGATTGCATTTCATATTAGTTGTTGGTACTACCTGAACCAAATGTTCTCTTTGGCTGTGTCTACTGTGGTTCAGTGTTGTATATATCATTACTTTCAGATTGCGGTGGTGGGACTTGCAGGCAAGTCAACATTTCCTCGATCAGACAGCTGTCTGCCTCATGCATTGGTGCCAGCTACTGTTGAAACCAAATTCTACTTCAGCAAGTTTGTGGAAGATCTTGAGAAACAAGACAGTGAGTTGAAACAATTATGATGAGGACTTATCAGTTGCAATGACTTCAATTTGGTATAGTGCCTGTATGTCTGATGAATAAGACATGTGTGAGTGGGGTAAATTGTTACATGCATCTTGGTATAGTGCCTGTATGTCTGATGAATAAGATATGTGTGAGTGGGGTAAATTGTTACATGCATCTTGGTATAGTGCCTGTATGTCTGATGAATAAGACATGTGTGAGTGGGGTAAATTGTTACATGCATCTTGGTATAGTGCCTGTATGTCTGATGAATAAGACATGTGTGAGTGGGGTAAATTGTTACATGCATCTTGGTATAGTGCCTGTATGTCTGATGAATAAGACGTGTGAGTGGGGTAAATTGTTACATGCATCTTGGTATAGTGCCTGTATGTCTGATGAATAAGAATGTGTGAGTGGGGTAAATTGTTACATGCATCTTGGTATAGTGCCTGTATGTCTGATGAATAAGATATGTGTGAGTGGGGTAAATTGTTACATGCATCTTGGTATAGTGCCTGTATGTCTGATGAATAAGACGTGTGAGTGGGGTAAATTGTTACATGCATCTTGGTATAGTGCCTGTATGTCTGATGAATAAGATATGTGTGAGTGGGGTAAATTGTTACTTACATCAGCTATATCTCGGCTATTTAGACATGAATGAGGTGTTACCGGGTGTGTTTGATGTAGACATGAATGAGGTGTAACCAGATGTCTGATGAAGACATGAATGAGGTGTAACCAGGTGTGTGTGATGTAGACATGAATGAGATGTAACCAGGTGTCTGATGTAGACATGAATGAGGTGTAACCAGGTGTGTCTGATGTAGACATGAATGATGTGTAACCAGATGTGTCTGATGAAGACATGACTGAGGTGTTATCAGGTTTGTGTGATGTTGACATTAAAGAGGTGTAACCAGGTGTGTTTAATGTAGACATGAATTATGTGTAACCAGATGTGTCTGATGTAGACATGAATGAGGTGTAACCAGATGTGTCTGATGTAGACATGAATGAGGTGTAACCAGGTGTGTCTTATCTAGACATGAATGAGGTGTAACCAGGTGTGTGTGATGTAGACATGAATGAGGTGTAACCAGGTGTGTCTAATGTAGATGAAGTCTTCTTGGGATGGCTTTTGTGTGCAATGTAAGTCGAGTTGTGAATTCATTATGCTTCAAGTTGGCACTGAAACTGCATGTCTACTTTCAGCTGCTACTAACCACACCCTTGGCTTTGAGACAGCCTTCCAGCTGATCCACAATACATTCAGGAAAGGCAAGATGTTGTCAGGTAAGAACTTTATACAAGAAAATGCATTGCTTGTGTATCTTTTGGTATATTTACTCATGGATAAAAGGTCTTCACTGCGTGATATTTACACTCACTCTTATTATCCCCCGCCATAGGAATGGGTGCTGTCCCTCTGGCCATCCCTCCGGCCGGCCGGCACATTTCGTTTCCGGAGCAGAACACAAAAAGAGATATCTTAACCAAATGAGAGATATCTTAACCAAACTTGGCACATAGATAGGTCTAGTGGTGAACTAGTGCCATTTGATTGTTTGGGATTTTAAAAAAATAATTATTTTTCGAGTTTCCATGGCAACGACTTAAGCCCTGTTTATACAGCGACATTTGCACACGTGTGTATTTTTTGCATATCTGCAAATTTGCTTATGTGAGCAAATTTGACCGTATGGACGCATTTACTCATGTGCAGATTTTACTCTTTTGAGTAAATTTGCACCTAGTTGGGACTAGGTGCAAATTTGCTACAACCTGTGAGTATATGCAGTTTAGATGTGAATTTTTTGCTACCGTGAGCAAATTTGGTCGTATGGACACATAGCAAATTTACACACAGTAAGTATATTTCCCAACTTATTGCATAATATCTGTTTTAAGTGCGTGTTATTGGCAACGCTTAATCCTCATTGGTCAGAATGATACCAGTTGATGTCTAGACTTCAAACAGACCAGACCGTCAAAAATGGCTAGCAGAAAAAGAACAAATGAGGCCAAAAATGTGGATCTGCATGGAGCGACGATGAAACGAGATTTCTTTTAGGATTAAGGGAAGAGAATTGTATTGAAGAACAACTTGAAAACCCCAAAACATATAATGGGTCTATTTATAAAACGGTTGCAAGCGAAATGGCTGAGAAAGGTTTGTAGAGGTTTGATCAATGTAAACTACGCAGTCATACTCTAAAAAGATCGTACAGAGAATGTAAAACAAGCATAAAAAGAGTGGTAAGGGTAGGAAAACCTGCAAATTCTTCGCAGAACTGGACACTCTCGGAAACAGACCAGCATCGTCCCTGCTGAAAGTGATCGATACTTTAAAGAAAGCGGGACTCGAAGAAGCTGATGAAAGTGATTATGATGATAATGATTATGGGGACATTCCACAGTCTGTCAACGATGATCTCAGTGACATTACACCTCTTGAGAGAGGAGATGATCACAGAAAGGAGAAGGAGTCGTCAGACACAAAAGGCAAAAAGGATGAAGGATTGGTAGAAACAAGGAAGAAAGAAGAATCAGCTGACAAAGTGAAGAGCGAAAAGAAAAGGGTGCGAAGGTCAAGGTTGGAAGTGGCACTGAAGTCAGTCATGGATGGATTTGGTGCAGCCAATGAGAAAGCAGGGGACAAAGTGGTGGAAAACTTGATTTGGAGAAACAAAAACTCGACTTGGAAAAGGCGAAAATAGAATCAGAGGAAAGACAGAAGAGGGAGGAATGTGAACATCAACTCGACATGATGAAGATGATTATGGAAGCAATCGGCCAGCGACAGGCAGGGCAACCACATTCAATGCCATCATTCCCTGTGAGCATGAGTCCTATGCATTCTGGTAAAGGTCCAGTTTACAGAGGTCAAGGTCATTCCTTACTCTCGTAATCAAGTCATGGTCAGTTGTCTGGCTCTAACCCTTCATTGTCATCTACAGACACGGATAAGCAGGAAGAAGGCACATTTGTCAATTTGTGAAGAACTGTGAAAGCAAAAAAGGTTGAAAACGTGTAACTCTGTCATTCTCGAATATGCACTTGCATATATGGTGTCGTAAAACAATGTTAACCAGAATTTTCTTTTACTCTCTCCCTATTTTTTAGACGTAACTTTGAAATGTTTTAGGCAATAAACAAATGAAAGCAAGAATCTGTTCTGTTGAATAAAATAATATTTCCTTCAATTAGGTAGCTAAAATGGCTGCCAGGTTTAATGTTTAACACACAACAAATTGCTTAAAGTTTGTTGTTCAAGAAAGCCTGTGCAATATCATCCCTCAGGGTCTTTGCACAACGGACAGGTTCGTCACCTCCATCCTGTACGCCCACTTGTTCATCATCTGCGTCATCATCTGTGTCTTCATTCCACTCATCCCTGAAGGTTTCATTGACACTCTCACATATGTTATGCAAGACAATGCAACAGCCAATCACTGTGCAAGCAAACTCCACATCGATGTCCAATCGCTTTTGTAAGCATCTCCACTGTCCCTTCAAACGACTGAAGGCATTCTCTATCGTCATCCTTGCCCTGCTGAGGCGATAGTTGAATGTGGCTTGAGCAGGAGTTAGATTGGCTCTGTTGGAGAAAGGCTTTAAAAGCCAAGTCTTTAATGGGTAGGCCGCATCACCAAGTAGTACCACTGGCATATTGGAATCACCAACCTTCTTGTTCCATGTGAGGGAAAAGAATGCCATTATCACCTTGAATGTAAATATCGGAATTGGCAAACACGCGGGCATCGTGGTCCTCGCTGACTGAAGCCCGGGACGTCATGGACATGATTGCTATACACAATGCTCAGATGGGGCAAAAATTCATCTTCAACACCTATGCTGTCATATGCTGTCAACACCAAAGAGATTACTGACTGTCCTGTATTCTGCAAGCCAGTAAATGGCAATTGCTACCTTCTTTAGGACACCCAATGGTTCTTCAACGGTGTCTTGAGAAGGAGATCGTTCACCTTCAAGTCTTCTGCAAATGAAATCCAATGTTTCCTTTCTCATTCTGAAGTTTTCTAGCCAGTCTGTCTCTTCAAAGTGCTGCAGAACAACCATGTCATACCACTCCTTCAACCGGGGTTTTCTTCTTATTTCTCTAACAGTTGAACAACCCAGAGCTAGAGCTACACTCAGGAAATAGGGAAAGTTTCTGCTTTTGCGAAACATTCCAGTCTGATCTTTTCCATAGCTATGACAGAAATGGATGGTTTTGACAATTTACTCCAAATCTGCTTATGGGACTTATACTTCGTATGAATGCACAGCAAATATACTTTTGCTCACGTGTGTAAATTTGCATATGTGTGCAAATTTGCATATATGCAATTTTTCGCCGTATAAACAGAGTATTAGACTTAGACTGAAAATGGCGCTAGTCCTCGTTTCCGGAGCAGATCTTGAAAACCGTACAACATTTCTTATTCAAACTTGGCACATAATGTCATCACTCAGAATTGAGTGCATTTCCTTTCTTGTTGGCAAGTTCTGTATTGCTTGTGTGTATGTTCCTCCAAACGTGTCATGGACATGGTTGTTGCATTCACTTACTAACTTCATGCAGAAACTTCAGGATCTCTCCAAGCAGCATGAATGTGAACATGTCCTAGTTACTGGGGATTTCAACTGTGATCTGAGTGAAAAACTGAAACTTGAAGATTTCTTTAATGTGCGGAAAATGACTCAACTCATTCACTCTCCAACTCACTGTCTTGGAGCTACACTGGACTTGTTGTTTACTGATCCTGCCAGTGCTGTAGCATTCCAGACTCCAGTCTACTACCCAGATCATCAGATGATTGATGCTGTACTTCTCAGTACACCTCATGGTGACCCCCCTGCTCTCATTGATCTCTAAGTAAAGTAAAAACTCCTTTACTTCTCTTAAGTAATAACACAACTCATTACAAATACACCAGTGTAACTGATCTTAAACATACTCAACTGTATAAACACTGCCTCCTGTCCTGTATATATTCTTGTCAACCATACTCTGTACTTCACTTGCTTGATAACGGTGTTAGAACCTACACTGAAATGCCCATATGTCTCATCCTTACTCATTACAAATACAGTTACATATTCTATCATAAACTGCAGATGGCAAAACAACACCAGTAATAACTTCTTTTAGTGCTGCAATTAGGCCATTTACAAAAAGGTCCAGTGAACATAGTTCACAGGAGCTAATGACTTGCACACAACCGGACATGTCATATTGGCGGGGGATATGAGAATTTCATGCTTGTTGGCAATGTGTTACATATCAACTTGAAGTTATGGCTTAAATCATGCCTAGCTTCTTGTCTGATACACGTTGAGATGATTTAGATTGACGACTTCTTGAACTGATGTTATGTGTATGGCAGTGAAACACAGCATTATTGTAGTAGTACTTGAGTATTTATTGCTATACAGTAAGTCTTTACAGAAGCACACCAAAGGGGAATTTCCTTTGAAGACTTTTCAAAAAATGATGCAAGGATTTGGCAAGTGCATTTTAACCAGTGATGATGATATACCTATTGATTCCCACACATTTTATACAGTGTATTCCCTACTTAATTTAGTTGTGATGTTGATTGCAGACAGAGCTCTCATCCTGTATGTAAGCCGAGGCTTGCTGTCCTCGCTGACTGAAGCCCGGGACGTCATGGACATGATTGCTATACACAATGCTCAGATGGGGCACAAGGTCATCATCAACACTTATGCTGTCATAGATGGTATGTACCATAGTCCTCATCAGTGTATAGAGTCAAAAATACAATTAATTTTTAGGTCCTCTTCCACCTCCCATCACATGGTCCCTGTGTACTTCGCTACGTGTGCTGACATGTTTCTATACTTGATGCAATACAATATATACAAAGTCTTATTCATACTTCAGGTGAATCACACTTGTCAACAGTTAATATACTCAGATGCCTTGAAGAGTTAAATAAAATATAGAAATATAATGCCTCTTACCTAACTTTTCAAAAAGGTTTGGATGAAAAATCTAATGATTGCCACTTTCTGTAATTGCATTCTTCTATAAGTCTACAATGACGTCATAGGAGTTTTGACCAGTGTGACTCTTAAGACCGCTTTGTGGCACTGACCTCTTTCAATAGTTACAGTTCTCAGTTACCAGTTCCACTTTCTAAAAACTGTAGCAGCCTTGGTATCTGTTGAAATTCATCATCTTGATGGCCCTTCTATGACAATAAATTGATTAATATAGTTATTTCAAGTCATGACAATACTCCCTCGCTTTTGCCAGTTTCCCCTTCCTGTGTTTGTGTAGTGCTGTGATGTGTGCCATCTGGTTGCATGTATAACCGGGAAAGTTGTGTTTACAGATGGTAAGCCCATCATGTATGAGAAGAGCTTCCTACAAGATATAGCGAACCAGAACTTCTCCAAGTATGATGTCCGATACAGGCTCAAGATACCAGTCATTGTAAGTAACTAAACCAACTGGCCAACTAGGTTGCTGCTCTTAAGATAAATGTGGTGTCCTGCAGATGACAGAAATTTTACTTGCTGCACGAGAAATGACGGGGCAATTTCACGACTCCCTCTCTCCTACCCAGAGTTCCGTGTGGTCAACCCAGTACTTCTGCCACAGGCCAGCCATGATTCGTCACATCTTACACAATCAATTCAACAAATTAGATTGTTTTTTTGTTGTTTTTTCAATTTTGAAAAGTGTTAACATTTAGATAAACTTATGTTACAAAATTGTTTACTTTCATTGAGAAAATATCCTAAACCGTTAAAACCATTTCCATGGCACATTTATCATTTGTTTACAATGTTTTTACGGCTCCACGTGCATACATGGAAGCCCAATTGAGAGCAGTGATATGGTCACTTTATGGTCATGATATATTGTCATTGTCCACACTGTCGCCGTTTCAGTAGCACATCTATATTGTTGTGCAAAACAATCTGCAAAACGCACTGACTTATGTATAATCATGTTTGCTTATTAACAAGAGAAAAGTCTGATCACTTGATATGCAAATTAGCGGTGACAGTGGTGTAATACTAAGTACCATATTTTCTTGAGTATAGTGCGCACTTTTTAAAAAACAACCCCAAAGCTGTGTAGAAGGGGGTGCGCATTACAGACGCTATAATGAGTTTTGATGGTTTTTTTCCCACAACGCAAAGACATTACCGTGAGCACGTAACACCAGAAATACCATGTCAACAAATCCATACTGAAGTACTCAAATTAATCATGTAATTACACTGTTTGGCTATAAAAAGTGTTCATTGTATATCTGGACTTATGTTTGTAACTTATTTCATTAATTTTATTTGAAATTCCTTTTAATATTGTTTTAATACACTTCGGCAAAATCGTGGGTTAAGCGATCAGAAGATCACTGTTATTAACAGCAACCAAGGTCAGAGATTACCGCTATTGACGCCTTGAAACAATCTTTAGTAGACAGAGAATGGATACATATGTCATAAATGCCATACTTTGACTCGTTAAAAGTCATATTTGTTGTAGTTTGACGATTCTATGTCGACACGTAGTTCTCGTGATCACGTGCACAGGAGCCTCGACAGTGACTGGTCAAATTGTTCAAATTGTTCAGCTGCATCGAAGTGCTACGCTTAGGGTTATTATTATTTTAAATATATTTAGTAAAAGCTGCAACTAAAATAACAAGATACTGAAATATATTATTCCTGATAAAAAATTAGTTTCAGATACAATTTTTCCCGATCCTTGCATGAAATCCTGTAAAAATACTGAATCCGCTAGAGGGGGGTGCGCATTATACTTACGTGCGCACTATACTCAAGAAAAAATGGTAGTCACTGTGCCAAAGTGTGCAAGACGCCCTCTCTTCTCCCTGCCTACATGATACTGGTAGACTGTTTCCACTTACAAAGGACACTAGAACAAACATGATTATTGCATACTGAATAAAACTTTCAGAATATTTTTGTGGGTTTTGATGTGATATTTAAAGTAGTGTGCCCAGCGTGTGACATGAGCAACTTGTGACGTTACAGAGGGGCATCATGCTGTCCATCAACAACACCAGAGACCTCAGCTCCACAGTGGGAAGGTTCTATCTGCCACTCAATCGGACAGCCAAGGAAGACCCTGTCTTTTCCCTACCCTACATAGATGAGGCTGATAGAGGTAGGTTAACACTAGATGTTGCTGATGGATGTAGGTTAACCCAAGATGAGTCTGATGAAGGTAGGTTAACCCTACATAGGTGAGTACACAACTCAGCTCATCGAAGTTTATCAAGGGGAAGTAACAACCATTGTGATCCATAATCTATTGTGTGAGCAATGTTTTGAGTTAAATGAATTGTTCAGTCCAGTTGCCCTGTTGTGAAATAAATAAACTGGATTGATTGATGAAACTAAGTGAATGAGATTGTCATATCCCTTCCTCTATCTGTGTACAGGCCTGACCATGAGCATCAGCCAGCCGTGTTTCCCCAATGTGGGGGATGTGAATCACCTGATTGGCATGGTGGGTGTGGACCTGCACATGGAGGACATTGTCCAGGACATCACCTACTACAACCCAGGCGATGGCTCATATGCATTTGTTGTCACAACTGATGGTCAGTCACAGTTTATTACCAATGTAATTTTGTTCAATTACTAAACTAGTTGATTGTTATTATTCAGTTCATTAGTAAAGTTGAATTTATCTTTCTGATGATACCAATAGGCATCGGAAGAGTTGAGTTTTGATAAAATTATATGATCCTGCAATAGACTGTATTTGGATACTACAAATACTGGACAGAATGTTGGATATTTTGATGTTAGATATATGTAAATTAAAGGCTTTTCTTATTCTTTGATTGGCATTTAGAAGTTTGTTGCACGGGAGGTTTTTAGCCTTAAGAACTTGAATGTCTATAAAAACTTTTCTTGTTTCACCTGACTTGAACATCAGTGCTCTCAAACATTGCAAAATGTTTCAGAAGTAGTACTCCCTTCATCTAGAAGTGACATTCTTTCAATGCTGTAGACTACACATTGCAGTGTAGACTATGACTGTACACTGATTTGTTGTGCTGATTATAGCATTTGATTTGCATTTCAGGCTTCACAATTATGCACCCATCCTTTGAGCGTCCAATCCGTACCAGTGTCCAGCCAATGCATACAGACATTCGGCACTTCGAGAATTATGAGGGATTTGAAGCTGTCCGAGATAAGATTCTAAAGTAAGGACAAATGTAAAATGGTAACTAAATTGATCTGTTTTTCTAATGAAATTAATTTGTATAATCTAATGTTGAAATCTTATCTGACATCTGATAGTGTACGAAAACTTAATACCTTGTGACCTGCCTGGTGTTAGATGATGTGTTTTGTTGTGTCAGCAATGAGGAAGGAGAGGAGAGACTGCTGCTGGGCTTGAGGAACCACACCAACCTGGAGGGAGACATCGTGGAGACTCAGCACTTCTGCAAGTACCTCTGGAAGAAGGTAGGTCACTTCAACATTGATCAACTCCACTCTCTACACCACAGTGCGAGCTTACCCTGGAGATAATGATTACACTGAGGAAGCAGGTGCTACTCCTCAAGAGTTGCTGCCTGGATCATATTGTGGTGCCTGGAACAGCTTGTGGTGGCAGGATCAGCTTGTCATGGCTCTCAATCGTAGATTTTAATCATTGGTTTATCATTTCCTTACCCATAATCTCGGGTGTCACCAAAGTGATGAATACTTACGGCTTCTGTCACTTTGAGCCTTCCTCTCTTCAAATACTGTTCAAAGGAACATTGTATGCCTTTCTTGGAACATTGTTTTAACTTTTCATGAACCGAGAACCTGTGGATATTGCAAATCTAGATTTGTCACTCATAGTTACTTTTCTGATCCCAAAGGAGTTACTACATGTCATTAAACATGTTTTGCTTGAACATGTCACCAATCATTACATTAGAGAGAAAACTTTTAGCAGACAATGCAATGGTACATCAGACACAAAGTACTGTCACTATAGTTTTCCATATTTGTGCATTCAACTGCAGTGTTCCTTTATACCACTTTCTGTTGTATAGGTGGAGAATGTGCCATACATTGTCGTCATCAAGGTGCTTGAGGAACACTCAGAGACGCGCCAGCTCAAAAACATCCACAGTATGTATCGTATAGCAATGGTTGACAACACACTGTCTTGCTGTATATTCAAATAAAGTGACTTAATACACTATTTCTTGAAGTATTGGCTGATGATGTGGCTGAGATTACTGTGAGTTAATGTTATTTTGTTGTTTAGTCCACAGCCAGCCTGACCTGGTGTATCACCGTATTGACTTGCTCCCCACTGAGAACATGTGTCTCCACCTCAAGCAGCTGGCCACTGTAGGTCAGTACCACTCACATCCCCTTCACCAACAGGAAACTCAAATTGGTGCTCAGTCTCCATAAACTAGTGTCACACATGGAAGACATGTGGGGACTATTTGTTAATCATAATAATCATTAATAGGAGGAATTAGTCATATGAATTCAAAATAATTTGTCCAAAATATTTATTCTACAGTATCAGTCAGTTGACATTGATGTGCGACCTTCCCTCTCTTGTGCTTGTATAACTTGACACATTTCTTTCCAAACTGTCAAGACTTTCTTCCTGGACTGACTTAATACAACAACAAAAATCAAATGTTGTAGAATCAAACAAAAGATGTAGGCATACTTCAGGTCAGCAAACATGAAGAATAACACTTTTCTTTGAATTTACTTCTATCTAGTGAAACAGGTATTTGCATAGACGACTATGATGTCCTTTGATTGTACTGACAAGTTACTGGTTGTTGTGTTGCAGATATCAGCACTGTGTTCATGTCCCCAAGTAGCTTTGTAAGTCCATTTGAACACCTCAGTCAGGAAGAAAACAAGAGAACAGTCCAGATGTATCTGGCCTACCTGAAAGATGACACAAGACTCATCACCAACCCTGGTCTCAAGGTAGGCACCATCCACTGGAGCCTCATTCCTGGAACATGTAGCACTGTCATTCTCACACTTCTTGACTTGGTAGCACTGTCAGTCTCATGCTCCTGGACACAGTAGAACTGTCAGTCTCATGCTCCTGGACACAGTAGCACTGTCAGTCTTATGCACCTTGACTTGGTAGCACTGTCAGTCTCATGCTCCTGGACACAGTAGCACTGTCAGTCTCATGCTCCTTGACACAGTAGCACTGTCAGTCTCATGCTCCTGGACACAGTAGCACTGTCAGTCTCATGCTCCTTGACTTGGTAGCACTGTCAGTCTCATGCTCCTGGACACAGTAGCACTGTCAGTCTCATGCTCCTGGACACAGTAGCACTGTCAGTCTTATGCTCCTTGACTTGGTAGCACTGTCAGTCTCATGCTCCTGGACATGGGAGCACTGTCAGTCTCATGCTCCTGGACACAGTAGCACTGTCAGTCTCATGCTCCTTGACTTGGTAGCACTGTCAGTCTCATGCTCCTTGACATGGTAACACTGTCAGTCTCATGCTCCTGGACTTGGTAGCACTGTCAGTCTCATGCTCCTTGACATGGTAACACTGTCAGTCTCATGCTCCTGGACTTGGTAGCACTGTCAGTCTCATGCTCCTGGACATGGTAACACTGTCAGTCTCATGCTCCTGGACATGGTAACACTGTCAGTCTCATGCTCCTTGACTTGGTAGCACTGTCAGTCTCATGCTCCTGGACATGGTAACACTGTCAGTCTCATGCTCCTTGACTTGGTAGCACTGTCAGTCTCATGCTCCTTGACTTCGTAGCACTGTCAGTCTCACACTCCTTGACTTCGTAGCACTGTCAGTCTCATGCTCCTGGACACAGTAGCACTGTCAGTCTCATGCTCCTGGACACAGTAGCACTGTCAGTCTCATGCTCCTTGACTTGGTAGCACTGTCAGTCTCATGCTCCTTGACATGGTAACACTGTCAGTCTCATGCTCCTGGACATGGTAACACTGTCAGTCTCATGCTCCTTGACTTGGTAGCACTGTCAGTCTCATGCTCCTTGACTTGGTAGCACTGTCAGTCTCATGCTCCTTGACATGGTAACACTGTCAGTCTCATGCTCCTTGACATGGGAGCACTGTCAGTCTCATGCTCCTGGACACAGTAGCACTGTCAGTCTCATGCTCCTTGACTTGGTAGCACTGTCAGTCTCATGCTCCTTGACATGGTAACACTGTCAGTCTCATGCTCCTTGACTTGGTAGCACTGTCAGTCTCATGCTCCTTGACATGGTAACACTGTCAGTCTCATGCTCCCCGACTTGGTAGCACTGTCAGTCTCATGCTCCTGGACATGGTAACACTGTCAGTCTCATGCTCCTGGACACAGTAGCACTGTCAGTCTCATGCTCCTTGACTTGGTAGCACTGTCAGTCTCATGCTCCTTGACATGGTAACACTGTCAGTCTCATGCTCCTGGACTTGGTAACACTGTCAGTCTCATGCTCCTTGACATGGTAACACTGTCAGTCTCATGCTCCTGGACTTGGTAGCACTGTCAGTCTCATGCTCCTGGACATGGTAGCACTGTCAGTCTCATGCTCCTGGACTTGGTAACACTGTCAGTCTCATGCTCCTGGACATGGTAACACTGTCAGTCTCATGCTCCTTGAGTCTAGTACTGGCAATCTCACATTCCTTGACATGGTAGTAGTTGAGCAACATATGACAAGATTGATCAGATATCTTAGTTTGTTGAAAGCTCTCAAACACCACAGGTACTGATAGTTGATTATCTCAGACTTAGTGACAAGAACTGTTAGTTGCATAAATATCTATGTTGTTTACCGCCTGAAATATGATGATTTCTACAACATACACAAGTGATGGGTTAATAGTGCCAAGTGCAGAGATTTTGGCCTGATGCATTCCTTGTATGTGTACATCATGTTCATATCTACATGAACATTGTTACTGCCTGTTTCAGGTTGCTGTGCGTAATGATGTTGCAGCCAGCAGTCGGATCAACTCTGAGTGGATACGTAGGTACTCCACCAGCAGACTGAAGGACTACATCATCCGCAGGTGAGGAGGCACAATCATGGATCAACTCAATAACTCATCAATAGATCCACCTGCAGTAGCCAGTAGTCATCTATTATAATGAACAAACAGATCCAGATACTAGTTTCATGTTTGAGATGATTGTTGCAGGTATGTGGCGACTCCGAGTGGTGTGTTCCGTATGTTTCCAGGGACATTACTTGACAAAACATTTGACCCAACAAAACGTTCATGGTGAGTTTCTATCATGTTCTTCATATATCAATCATGAAAAATAAGTTGAAAAAAGTATTGAACTTTTTGAAATGTAACTTGTTCCAAAATAATGTTTCTAAATGTGTCGCTTTACAAAGATGCTAACAGCAAGTGAATGTTTCCTCTAGGTACACAAGAGCTATGGAGTTCCCTGGCCATGTGACTCTCACTGCACCATACTTGGATGTTGGTGGCGCTGGGTATATTGTTACCATCAGCCACACCATATTTGAGGGAAAGTAAGTGTTATCCCCCACAGCCTTTGGTTCGTATGCTTTCAGTTTTGTAAACACAAGAACAGTATTCATTATCCAGCCATGTGCTCATTATTTGATGATCTGTCCATATGAAGTCAACTCAATAAAAAAAAAGACAGCCTCCAGGAGTGGTAGAGCGTCCACCCGGAGAGTGGAATGTCTGGGGTTCAAATAGTTGGCTCGGAATGAGTATACTATGTCTGAAAGGAGCATCCATGTTAGACTGCGGCATGGTATCTCAGTGGTCTAGCACTATAACAATTGGCATTAGGGCACACGCACTCACACAAAGGCGCACACGCTGTGCATATGTGAAGGGTTTCCAATGGGGACACCCATTTGTACAGAATTTTTCAATTATCTTGTGGTGAGACAGTGAAATACGACCAAATCTGGCCAGGCTTGCTGACTTGGTTGATGCATGTCATCGTATCCCAATTGTGTGGATCGATGCTCATGATATCAATCACTGGATTGTCTGGTCCAGACTCAATTATTTACAGATCGCCGTCATATAGCTGGAATATTGCTGAGTGTGGCGTTTAAAAACAAACAAACATAATATTATTCCAATACTGCTTAGTCTTTTGCAGCAAAGTTGTTTTGTCCCTGGATGTGTGTAATTCTGCTAAGGGTTTAAATTTTGTTGCTTCCAAATCTTTGAGGTTGTATGTTGGTTTCTATACAGTACACTTGTACAAAAAGCCATTTGTCTGAGGTGTTTTAATGGTGTAACATGTGTTTGACATATGAGTGCACAATGATGTCCGGAGGAAATAAATAGAAGTGCAGAACATCAGCGTGAAGATTGTAGCAAGAACATATTTCTTCTGATTGATTGCATTGTGAGAAGATAGTATGCCTGAAGTATATACATAAGGCATATACATGTATACTAGATACATCATTTAAGAACTGACTTGAACTTTGTGTGAGTTAACTGGAACTACATAGAGTGAGGGCCAAACTGTATGAACGTCAGAGATTGCGACGTAGCTATACGTCATACACTTATGAACATCAATTTCACAGTCATGTGACCGACCTCTCGTCAAATCGAAAAGCTGAATATCATGTAAACTTCAAATTATAACATTATACAAGGGTGTACATCTCACACCCACTGCTGCCTACATACTGAGAGTCCCCAGTTGAATAGACCTGTCCGAGAGTCCTCGTTTTAATGGTTAAATACAATTGTGTATATCTCACTCTCTGTAGATTGTTTAAGATAAATGCCGCAGTTGTACAGAGGTGTGGATGAGGCATCGCTTACTCAGTTAGTGTGTGTATATTTCACACCCACTGCTCACTACATATTGAAAGGCCCCAGTTGAATAGACCCGCACAAGTACCCCCATTTAATTGGTTAATTTCAAACATGTACCCCCCAAACTGATTGGAAACAAGTATTGCCTCTCCTGTTTTGGTTTGGTATGAATGATAACGATTTAGAAGCAAATGAAATGAAACTAATGAAGCAGGGCTGCTAATTATCTCTTGAAATACCACATGTCCCTATTTCCTACTGTAGTAATAAGTGTATCCATGTGTGTCCCCAGTTAGGCTGCAGTTGTCATATTTGGAGAATGTTACCGCAGAACCCACCACACTCCATTTTGAGGATCAGGAGGATCCCTATCACCTCACCTTGCCTCACCTCACCTCACCTCACCTCACCTCACCTCACCTCACCTCACCTTACCTTATAAAGAAATAACTATTTTCTTCTGTGTTTTATTCAGACCAGCAGCACTGCACAGCCCTAAGGACCGTGTGGTAGCTGTGATGGGCATGGACATCACTTTAGGCTACTTCCACAAGCTCCTGTCAGAGAGCATCCCAGCCTGCGAACAGCCCACAGTCAGGTATGTATAGTCTTTCCCACTCAGCTAGCTGCTGTCAGCAGTACTTCACAGGTTTATGTCCTTGCAATCCCCCATGAATACATACAGCCACTTTGCTGTGTAGTCACTATGTTTAACCAACGAATCAACGAAGACATGGTCCCAGAGAGTGAAAGACCATCAGGTGGTCTGAACAATTACATACAGACTTACAAAATACATAATTCTTTTGAATACCTCACCTCTATCACATCAGTTGCCATAAATTCCTGTTTATGCTTAGAACCACACTATAAATTTTTATAAATTTTCAACAGACGTCCACTACTGCCAACATATCCATAGTTGTCAGGGAAACCCTATCCCTTGCCAGGGGCGCCACTGCGCAAGCGCAAGGCGGGAATCACCTCACTTCTTTCCTGTGTGTCCAGATGACAACAAGGAAAAATTTTGTTGCACATCCGAACACGTGATTGAGTTCCACACTTTCAAGCACATTAGATCTTCTCAAGATTCATAGACTACAAGCAGTGAGCAGTTCTACAAATAAGCAGAATGGGGGTATAGAAGATCGGAGTCTCTAGTAAGCAATTAGTTAAGAAAAGTGTTGTGGGATGAGATCTTCATCTCATAAACAGACACCCGTCTGTTCGGGCTGTGGGCAAGACCAGGCTCCCGGTGACCCTCACCCTACTAGATGTCTCTCATGCAAGAAAAGCAGCTGTACACAGAAGTCAAGGTGCAGCTATTGCAAGCATCTGTCAAAAGAAAAATTACAAAAAGATCACTAGAGCATCAACATCAAGAAAACAAGTGATTAAGCCCTTGGCGGCCAAAATTAATCACGTGGGTGACAAGCGAGTGTCGTGAGAGGGCGCCGTCATATATCGCTCATCCCACTCTCCCAATAAAGTTGAGGAGCAGATGCATTTTACCGGCCTTAACACAGCCTCTAACTTGCATCCGGCAACGTCTGGTATGGTCGATCATCGAGTTTGGCCAGAAACTAATGATCTTCACCCTCTGCCGCGTTCCCCCTTTAACATAAATGAGTTCATGGAAAGAATAACAAGTTCAATGTCTGTTATGATTGACACACGCATGCAATCTATGTCTCAGGAAATCTCAGATCTAAAAGAATCAGTTAATCAAACCGGGCTTGGCCAATCAGCGATTGATCACGAGGGTAAACAGAGATCTAAGGCTGAATATGACAGTACCCCCTCATACAGCAGACATGCACAAGGTAAGGCTGAATCAGACTATGAGGACAGTAGGAGAATTATACTAAGAGACCGAGAATCTCATAGATCTTCTTCCTACCACGCTCACCATAGGGCACATCGTGAATCACGGTCTTCGCATCGCAGTATGCACAGAAATAGGCACCAGTCACCCTCAAGCCACTATGATAGACGAACTGACAAAACTCGTGCATATCAGGATAGTAAACCTAAGCGTGCGCCATCTCATGCTGCCACACAGTCCAGTTATTCGGGCGGAGAAAGCGAGGGAAATATGACATCACCATGCAGTTATAGATCACGTGATTCCCGCACAGCTTGCCGTAAATCAGACGACCGGGATTACAATACCCTCAGCCATACGACCCACTCCCAGCGCAGCCAGAGTAGGGGGTGCCGATCTACAGCTAACACTGATTATTCATGCTATGGGGACACTACTATGGAGGATGATTATAGACCAAACAATTACTCTCTTAGAGATATCATTGCAGAACTTTATGAGCTAATGCCCTCCTTAAAACCAGATCAGGACAGTACGCCTGTTAAACCCTTGATTGAACGTGCAGGGTATGAGGGACCCGTCGGGGGGACTGAACAATTCCATACCCTTCCGCGCCCGTCATATATGGATGACGTCATCAAGAAAACCGAAAATCAATTGAATTTTGCAGCAGGAACTAGTGCTAGACTGAGGCCTATCTATGATAAGTCTGCTTACAAGACACACGATGATCCTTTCGCACTACAGCCTATCATTGACGAAGATTACTTTGATCTGGTTAAGAAACCTAACCCCAATATGCGCATTGACATGGCCAAGATCAAGAACTTAGATAAAGTCAACAAACAGATGATTAATATCAGTTTGTACATTAACTTGTTAGCAGCTGGTATTCGCCATGTCATACCCCCGTACAACCAGAGCGATGATCTGCCTTTAGACGCTTCCACGGAGATGACTAGTCAGAAGACGGGATTTATCCACAGCTCACTAGACCTCATACTGAAGATGCAGGAAGACCTTCAATCAGCACAAGTCTGGATGTCAGCACAGTTCCTGCTCATGCAAAGAAGACACTTACTACAGCAAGTTCATCATGGGATGCCGGACCTGTTAAAGAGATCCATGATGTCACAGCCCATTACGTCATCGCAGATATTCAACGGTAGACTGAAGTCGGTAAAGGAAGCCATTATGTCGTCAACTAACCAGAAGTTTCAGGAATCCACCATCTCGTTAGCATCCAAGTTACAGAGACAGCCGGCAGTTACTCAGCACCAACAACAGAATCCTAGACCCCGGCGTGAACAGTCCTACCGGGATTCTTTTCAAGCCTCTACACAGAGAAACAGATCGTATCAACCCAGGTACAGGAACTCCAAAGTTGATCTTCCCACTTCGCAGAGAGGACTTGGCAGAGGAAGAGGCAGGTCCCGTAGGGGCCCCCTCCGGAAATGACTCAACCATGAATCTACAGACCCGTCCAGATCCTACCGACTTCGCCTGCCCTACGGACAACGATTTAGAATTACGGAAGACCAAGGACACGACAACACCGAATCCAGTCGAACTAGCCAATCTCACAGACATCAACCCAAGACTACCTAAGTTCAGCTCTCACCCTATTCCGGGACCAGTCGGAGGCCGTCTTATGCAGTACGCAGACAACTGGAAGACCATCACAGACGACTCATGGTTACTCGAAGTAGTAAGAAGAGGCTACAAACTTCACTTCTTAAAACGACCAAAACTAGCCATCCATCCTACCGGACCCCGATTCCAGCTATCAGGACTGAAGTTAATTGCAGCAGAAGTGGCCATACAAAAACTACTCACAGAAGGAGCTATCAGCACCCTAAAGGAGTCAGACACCACTCTCGGATTCTACTCCCCAGTATTCCTGGTACCGAAGAAGAATTCTTCAGAGATGCGATTAATAATAGACCTAAAAGTTCTGAACAAAGATTATCTGGAAAAACCACCCAGGTTTCAGATGGAATCTATAAAGAATTGGAAGAATTCCCTAAGACAAGCAGATTGGATGATAAGCATAGATCTCCAAGACGCCTATCTTCACGTCCCCATCCATCCAAGTCATCGTCGGTACCTACGCTTTGCTGTCAACAGTCAGAGATACCAATTCAGGGTACTACCATTCGGCATATCCATCGCCCCATGGTTATTTACCAGGATCACCAATCCCATCATCGGTTTAGCCCATCTAAAGCTCATAAGGCTGCACGGATACATAGACGATTTCCTATCGGCCGATCAGGACAAATCGCAAATCAGTTTAAACACAGTGTGTCTCATCCAACTTCTCACACACTTAGGATTCCCAATTCACCCTAAAAAATCAGCTAGTACCAACACAGGACATCACCTACATAGGCGCAAGATTTCTACTCAACAAGGGCATAGTAGCTCCCCCAGAAGACCGATATGCAAGAGTAGAGCACATGATAACAAGCGCACTAGATCAGCCCGTCAAGTCGAGACGCTGGTGGATGTCTTGCCTAGGCACGCTCACATCTATCCAAGACCTAACCTACAGAGGCAGACTACAATTACAGCCCTTGCAGATTTGGATGAATACCACCAAAAAAAAACTAGAGCTGGAAACATTAATCCAACCTCCACAAGTTCGAATCTCAGAACTCCTTTGGTGGCTGAATCGTCAAAATGTCATGCCAGGTATTCCACTAAATTACCCCACCCCCCTACATCAACTCTACACAGATGCATCAGGAGAAGGTTGGGGTGCCCATATGGACGATGTTACCATACAGGGAAAATAATCCTCCCAAGAGAAAGAGTTATACATCAATTGTCTAGAAATGAGAGCGATATATCTAGCATTAATAGCTTGGCTGGTAGAAGTACCTCTGAAACTCCCAGTACGTCACGACCTATTGAGACAACCAAAGACGGACATATTTTACAGCCGCCTCGATAACCTCCATCTTCACGCTTGGAAGTTATCTCGAATAAGATGCAAGCCGCCGGTTACTCTAAATTAGCTGCGCGAAGAGTGGCTAGCTCATGGAGACCAGCTTCATCCGCCCTATACAATAACAGATGGGACAAGTTCGTCAAGTGGAGAAGAGGAAAACAGTTACATGGAGATATAACGAAACCTATAGTAGCCGATTTCTTGCTCCATCTCAGAAACGACAAGAAATTACGACACGGCACTATCAAAGGCTATAGATCAGCCCTGGCATCAGTATTACAACACGATGGCCTATCTATAGGTACCCACCCAGTACTAAATCGACTCATGAAGTCCTTTGCCCTGGAAGACATAAAAGTACCACGTACCTTCCCAAAATGGGATCTATCTATAGTATTGTCAGCATTAATGAAAGCACCATATGAACCCATGAGTAGTGCGACATTACTATTAGTCTCCAAGAAAACTGCTTTTCTCCTAGCCATGGCTACGGCGGCTCGTGTGTCAGAACTACACGCTATTGATATCTCCACTGTAACTCATACCCAAGAATGGACATCAGTGTCGTTCAGATCGCTCCCATAATTTATTGCCAAAAACCAGTCGTCAACCTTCGGCCCTCTCGGACACAGGCAATACACAATACCAGCCTTAAGTAAAAGTGTGGACTTCCCGGATAGACTGCTTTGTCCCATAAGAGCCTTGAGATACTTCATTACAGCAACTCAACCCCACAGAAAGCAGAGGAAACGTCTCTTTATCTCTTGCAAGCCCTCGTCAGAAAAGGACATCACAAAGGGCACTGTAGCGGGATGGCTAAAATCAGTTATTACAGATAGCTGTAAAATGGCACAAGTCTCCACGCCGATTTGGGGAAACTGCAGGCCTCACGAAATCAGAGCACTTGCAACAAGCCTAGCCACATGGAATACAGCATCCATTGAACAAGTCGTAGCCAGTTGCCAGTGGAAGTCCTACAACACTTTTTCAAACTTGTACCTACGAGACATACAGACCGATCTAAATGGACTATACACTCTGGGGCCCTTGGTGGCTGCCCAGGTGATAGTCGCCTAGTAACCTTGTTCCCCTTCCTCTTCTGGGAAGGGAAAAAGAGGGGGGTGTGTGAAGATTTCAGAAGTACCTCATGAACTCAGGGTAAGTTGACTTTGTTACTGGGCTGCGCTATTGATTTAGTAAAACAGGGCAAATGGCAACACTGAAATCAGAGATCGAAGGATTAAGTGATATATGGTAATCTACATGATAGGAAATATCGATGTACTACCACCGGAAGTGACGTCATGGGAGACATTGCACCGGAATAACGTCAAGATACGTTAAATATCACTATCCAAAAGGGCATAACGGTAAACCACGTCATAGTGATACGAGAAAATAGAAGACATATACCACAATGGGCATGGTGTAACACCGGAAGTGACGTCACAGATGACATCATCACAAAGAGTGACATCATAATATGTCTAAGTATCACAAGGGAATATATATATACCCATCATATGATGTTTTGAAAATTCTATATGTCTAAGTCTTGTAAGTAGACTATTAGACATATCCGTTTAGATCCCCTTTTGGCATATAACCCGCCGGTCCCTCTGGTGTATGCTGGCAACTGATGTGATAGAGGTGAGGTATTCAAAAGAATTATCAAACAATAGTTATCATTGTGAATAATTCTAAGAATACCACCTCTATCACATCAGGAATTAATCCCTCCCACCTCCCCAAATATCTGCATCTAGTTGATGAGAGTAATGGGTTGGAAGAAGTGACTAGACTCCCACCTTGCGCATGCGCGGTGGCGCCCCTGGCAAGGGATAGAGTTTCCCTCACAACTATGGATATGTTGGCAGTGTAGTGGACGTCTGTTGAAAATTTATAAAAAATTGTAGTGTGGTTCTCAGCATAAACAGGAATTTATGGCAACTGATGTGATAGAGGTAAGGTATTCTTAGAATTATTCACAATGATAACTATTGTTTGATGTCACTACTGCACTGCAAGTAAGCTGTATGTTTTCAGAGGTGATGGAGGAACATTGTATAACCGGTGGGCACCTTGGGCACGCCAGAAACCTATGATTGTGGGTTCAAATGCCCATTCACCATGATTATGTTTCTAGGTTTATCAGCATCATACCCGTGCTCGTGGGTTTCACCGAAGTGGTAAACGTTTGAGACCTGCATGACTTCGGGCTTACCTCCCACATTAACCTGACACGCCGCGATATAACTGGAATCCTGTTAAAAGCGACGTTAAATCCAACTCACTCATATGGAGAGCTGAAACTTATAGAAAAGCTATTCTTTGCAACACTTTTGGTGTAGCTAGCTATGTGGGGTAGACTGTAGCTAACTGAGGAGGTAACATGTTTGCAGGTGCTTCCTGATGGAGGACAAGGGCTACCTGGTGGCTCACCCAGGGCTCATCGACCCCAATGGTAAAGGACCAGTAGAGCAGCAGCACATCACACACAAGGTGGGCACAGCAGACAACACTACTGTTACTTCAAATTTGGAATATAGTTGTTATGGATTTTTTCTCAGAGTTTTATTTATGTGGTGTGTCTGTTTCATCCTAAAGATTAACACTGTGTAGGACATCTGTAATAGATCAAATTATTTCTAATTCGGACAACCTTTTGCCAATTCTATCTCTTTGATCCCGATCAGTGTTACCTCCTTTGATCCCTCATGGTCCTTCTCGTCACCCATCATTGCACATGTTTGCCAAGCAGATTTGGTTATCCTTCAACCCCGGACTCAAACATTTGTCAATCCTTTGTTGGGAGGTTAATAAATATTCTAATTGATGTAACATTGCTATGAAGTTATGTACTACATTTAAGACATATACATCAACTGTTCAGTTGATAATATTTTATATTTATACCAAAACTTCAGTGATGACAGCATTGTACCACAGATAACACATTAATGTGTCATGTTTATAGGAACCCTTGGTGGCTAATGATATATTGTACCACACTGGCTTCGTGCAGAAGAAAGTTTGCAACAAGTATAATGACAGGACGGTACAGAGATTTTACAATGTAAGTGTAAAGTGTTTTTTGCAACTATCATAGATTTAGTTATGGGTATGTAACTTTTATCCTGTTTTGATATATAATTTACATAATCTGTTAGACCCGTAAAGATCCGGGGTAGAATAGGATCTTCAGCAACCCATGCTTGTTGACTAACAAGATCGGGTGGTCAGGCTCGCTGGCTTGGTTGATGCATGTCTTTGTATCCCAATCACTGGATTGTCTGGTCCAGACTCGATTATTTACAGACCGCCGTCATATAGCTGGAATATTGCTGAGTGTGGCGTTAAACAACAAACCAACCAACATAATCTATTAATTAGGTAGCAACTTGCAATGTCGACTGGAGCTGCCCAATTGGTATTTATGTGCTTTAACTGGGTATTGCACTTGTTTCAGTTCAACACCAGCCTAAATGGGGTGCTCACCAACATGGTGCATGGAGAGCACTGTGCTAGGTACCAGGTATGTGCTTGCACCAGCCCTACGCCTCAACACTTGTCTTTCAACTCACTGCACTTTTTTCATTGACAATTGGGAAATGTATTCGCCTGTTGACTACAGCATTACATTTTGAAATAACAGTGGCCAGCACAACTATGAATTTTCTCTGACCTTCATGATAAGGACTATTTCACAAAACAAGTATTGCAAATTAATCTCCCTGCACCAGCCACACCAAATTAAGTGAAAGATTAATATTAACACTTTTGTAGACAACTTTCGATCTTATTAAAATATATGTTACTATTTCCAGATGACACACATCCCCGGTACAAATGCTTTTCTTGGTATTGTCAACCATACCTGTGAGACAGCCACTGCATTCTGTCCGTGCAGCATGGTGGACCGGCTGTGTCTCAATTGTAACCGCATGGAGCAGAATGAATGTGAGTGTCCGTGTGAATGCCCACTTGAGATGAACCTGTGTACAGGGGAGCTGATGGACTTCGAGGACCTGTGAGTACTTTGTCTTGATGTACTTATCTACTTGAAACTTATCTTGGATCATGATAGCCATTTAACACACACAACATTGATAACTTAAAGCATTTCTTTCATGTCATGCCATTTGATTGCAATTTGTAAAATGTGTAATAGACAAATGCTCAGTGGACTTTTCAGTTGTGTTAACAATGACAGTGCTTGTTGTAGTAACCCAAGCTGCTTCCATGCCCCTGAGGAGGAGCGTCTGGTTGTTGCTGACCCGGTTATTGTAGAAGACCTGCAGCAGTGCTACCAGCCTCGGTGTGACCAGCGCAAGGCCAAGATGTGAGTAGCAATGACTGAGGACAAGTTTAGAAATTTTTTAGAATAAGGATGAGAATGCTGCTGCAACAGCTGTTGATCATCCATACGTAGTTACATAGCCAACTTGTAAACACCTCATGGGATGCTACACAAAGTACAGGGAAGCAGCCGTTGATCATCCATACGTAGTTACATAGCCAACTTGTAAACACCTCATGGGATGCTACACAAAGTACAGGGAAGCAGCCGTTGATCATCCATACGTAGTTACATAGCCAACTTGTAAACATCTCATGGGATGCTACACAAAGTACAGGGAAGCAGCCGTTGATCATCCATACGTAGTTACATAGCCAACTTGTAAACACCTCATGGGATGCTACACAAAGTACAGGGAAGCAGTCTGATCATCCATACGTAGTTACATAGCCAACTTGTAAACACCTCATGGGATGCTACACAAAGTACAGGGAAGCAGCCGTTGATCATCCATACGTAGTAACATAGCCAATTTGTAAACACCTCATGGGATGCACAGGGAAGCAGGGTTAAAGAGAGAAGTACTCAGCTCTGGGCCCATTTGCACAGAACAATCTTAGTTAGAATTGATCTTAGGCTGCTACAATCAACTTTACAATCACCATACAATTGTCCTATTCCACTTGCACAAACCGATCTTAGCGCGATTGAAAGACGGCTTGGAGTAAGACTGAAATCTTCAATGGTGGAGGTACGAATATCTTAAACTCGACTCCTGTCTACAGTTGTCTGCAAATGCGCATAGCTTGCGGTGCATACAATAAGTGGAACCGGTAACGACACACAACATGTACCTCCCTCCATCATACCTTGCACAGTTTCAAGAAAGGTCCCAATTATTTGAAGTATGTTATGACTACCTTTTCAAAACACAGAAAGACGCAGGATTTCAAGAATGCATGGAAGGGAAATAAGAATAATGAATAATGTTTCGAGAAAGCAGTTGTTTAATATATATTCACTGAGTATTAATTATATTGATAATTATATTTAAAAAGTGTGATATTAACGTTTGCTATTTATAAGATATTTTACACAAATTTCAAATGCCTCATCATGTGTATTTGCTTATTTAATGAATACATGTATTTTTTTTCTTTTAAATTCAGATATAAAAACCACTCGATTTTATGTTTAAACATGTATGATCTTCCTCTTCAATTTGTATTTATATGCAGATTAATTTAATGATAAATGAAAGGCAAAATAACAGACACGAATGTGACCCAAAAGAAATATAGGGGCAGTTCAGCGATTCAACAACATTGATACACTGGGTAACGTAGATTGTACTCTACTGGCTTAAGCAAGGGGAAACCACTCCAATCAAGAGTATAAACTAAGATAAGCTGCCCTTGATTTATCCAAAAAGTCTCGGACGTTACAAATCACTTGAAGACGACTTAGGTTTTTATCCTTCCCTTGTTTAGCAAAAATGTATGATGTTTCACACTTCTTTCAGCATTGAGTTGGATGGGAATATTCCTTTTAGCTATTGACTTCATAGTTATTTGGTTAAATTTGGCAATTAACGATATTTCTGATGTTAAATCTGTGGTGCGTTCTTTGTGTTGTTGAAGTGTCGGTTCGAATCATTAAGTTTAACAAAATAAAGAGGCAATGTTTGAACGTAAAGCAGATTATTTATGTGAAACAGACTAAGCCTTGCACGCCATTTTGTCAAGTTTACTCAGGGACTACAACAATCTCAGTTACTTAAGATTGGTCCGGACCAATTGTAAGTTTCGATTGTAGCTTACAATGAATGATCTTAGCCTACAATCGCTTTGTGCAAGTGGATTGCGATTGTACCTGAAGACTAAGATCGCAATTTTAAGGATTTACAATAATTGTAGCGCTAAGATCGCTTTGTGCAAGTGGATTGCGATTGTACCTGAAGACTAAGATCGCAATTTTAAGGATTTACAATAATTGTAGCGCTAAGATCGCTTTGTGCAAGTGGACCCTGGTGTGCATAGAGCTTGTTGTATTGCAGGGACTGTATGGGTGTGCTGGACTGTGAGTGGTGTCAGCTACAGGCAGATGAGAATACACCACTCAAGAACTCCTACTGTGCTAGTCAGAGGGAATGTTTTGGCGGAGTGGTTGGAGCGCCCACCCCATATGGAGATGAAATCAGTGGTAAATAGCATTAGGCATTTGATCATGGTCTCTTTACAGATGTTTATGAAACAAACAAGCCTCATGACGATGGAGCACTGATTATTTTACTTGCACTTGCTGCCAAACTATGTTAAGTATAGAAGTGCAATTCACTGATGTAAATACTTCTAAGTAACATGTTGTACTAATACTTTTTCTCGTGTATTTCATATTTGGAAGAAAAGATGAACATTTTTAAACCACTTAACATCAATAGTTATATTCCTGTACAAGGAGTCAAGTGCACACACTTGATATATGAATTTTGCATGCATATGTGTGTGTGAAAATCTAAAGTGGATATTTTCCAGCCATGGAACAAGAGTTTGACCCCAGCAAGCCAAAGAGTACCCCTGTGGGGCCTGTAGCAGGAGGCATCATGGGCTGTTTCCTATTAGTCGCCCTGGGAGTGTACTGCTACCGCCACCACGTGCATCGCAACTCCCACCACTACATCAGCACACTGCCAGACAACCAGAACCGGATGTCCCACTACTACAATGAGCCTGATGACCCGGAGCCAACTGAGGAGCAAGGAGCAGGTGTGTTGTCTCACTATATCATATCACATCTATATCTATAATTGTAAAAGGTGTAGACACTCAACTCATTTGAAATATAAAAAGACTGTTAAAAGTAAAATCATCACAGGTGGTAACAGCGTATTTTTAACATTGTACGTCTTGTTTTTAAAGTTTTAGGCTGGCTATGAAAATGAAAAGTGTTGTCCCTTTGGAATCTTTTATATCTGGTGGTCACCTAAACATGTTTGGTAACATACTCAGTACTGCGTTCTCCATCTTAAACATGGTTGTAACACTGTGGACAACACTCTGGACAGCAGATGACAGCACCTAGACTGATGGCAACCTGTGAAACAGCTTCTACATTATTGAATCGGCTGTCATTGAATTATTTCAAAGCTCATGACATCTGGCACCTGAACATGTTCCTCTGATGTAGTTTTGGTGTTGTTCAGTGTTGGCTGAAACCCACCTGTGTAGAGTAGGTCTTCAGCTACCCAGCTTGCTGTAAGAGGCGACTAACAGGATCAGGTTTTAGAATCGCTGACTTGGTTGATGCATGTCATCGTATCCCAATTGGATCGATGCTCATTGTGTCAATCACTGGATTGTCTGGTCGATTATTTACAGACAGTCGTTATATAGCTGGAATATTGCTGAGTGCGGCATTAAAAAGCAAAAAAACAAAAAAACAAAGCTGTAAAACTAATTCTCTCATGATGGTAACCATGGTACCTAGTTATTTGTCTTGTCAATTTCAGGTCACACCAACTTTGTGTTGGCATCATTCGAGAACCCAGCCAGTATTTCTCCATATCGAGTGAACACATCCTACCGCCGTCCCGCTGGTGGTGACAGTGACCATGGCTACAGTACAATGACACCACATGAAGACAGTGAACATGCCAGTCTGCCTTGCCTGGAACCTCTTCTTATTGGCAAGGACCGATACAAGCCACATGGCCTCACAAAGACTCCTATGTTGCCGCCACCTCCAACAACCAGTAGGCGAAGTCGTAGCCCCACTCCACCACAGACTCGACTGTCCACATACATGCCCATACCAGAACAGACTGTCATACCCTCTGAGTCAATATTGGGGCCTACTACAGTGATTGCAGAAGCCCCACATAGTGTTATTGCCAATGTGCAGGTACACATGGTGGACACACACTGAACTGAAGGAAGCCTAGCACTAGACTGCCAACACACTGGGCTTCATCTCTACTCTAGTGCTCACAAGCTGTGCCAGTGGTGGGGAACAAGGCACACTCCTAACTTCAGTAGTCAATTTCTCAGGGATACCTCACTATGGCAAATGTAGACTGTGTGTGAAGGCCAAATAAACACTGGCATGACTGCCACATGAATGATTTGGGAGAGCCAGCAGGCAGCTAGCTGATCAAGGAGTACACCAGATTGGGAGAGCCAGCAGGCAGCTAGCTGATCAAGGAGTACACCAGATTGGGAGAGCCAGCAGGCAGCTAGCTGATCAAGGAGTACACCAGATTGGGAGAGCCAGCAGGCAGCTAGCTGATCAAGGAGTACACCAGATTGGTAGAGCCAGCAGGCAGCTAGCTGATCAAGGAGTACACCAGATTGGTAGAGCCAGCAGGCAGCTAGCTGATCAAGGAGTACACCAGATTGGTAGAGCCAGCAGGCAGCTAGCTGATCAAGGAGTACACCAGATTGGGAGAGCCAGCAGGCAGCTAGCTGATCAAGGAGTACACCAGATTGGGAGAGCCAGCAGGCAGCTAGCTGATCAAGGAGTACACCAGATTGGTAGAGCCAGCAGGCAGCTAGCTGATCAAGGAGTACACCAGATTGGTAGAGCCAGCAGGCAGCTAGCTGATCAAGGAGTACACCAGATTGGTAGAGCCAGCAGGCAGCTAGCTGATCAAGGAGTACACCAGATTGGGAGAGCCAGCAGGCAGCTAGCTGATCAAGGAGTACACCAGATTGGGAGAGCCAGCAGGCAGCTAGCTGATCAAGGAGTACACCAGATTGGTAGAGCCAGCAGGCAGCTAGCTGATCAAGGAGTACACCAGATTGGGAGAGCCAGCAGGCAGCTAGCTGATATAGGAGTACACCAGTACACTGTGTGTTTCCAACTTGGATGTGATGATATTATTTAGTGCTCCGTTCTATCACCCTCTCACCTGTGTTCACCTTCTCTTGTATTGGAGATGGATTGTTTTCAGTGACAAATACGGACACCTGGTGAATGAACACAGACTACAACAAAAGCAGTCATACTGTTGCCAGAATCTTTTCAAAAGCGGGTGTTTGTCAAAATGGCAGTGTTTGGACCAATTTTTGAGCACTAGTACATTGTGTATTTGACCTTGTACAAGTGGAAAAAGGCATTTACTGTTTGCTATATTATTTCAATACCTCAGTAGGTATACATGTGGCATTTCCTCACTCTCTTCAGTGCAAGGCACATTGAGAGTCATTGTCTCTTTCGGAGATGGCATGTGCAAAAGCTTTTTAAAAACCACAGCGATGAATATGATTGGATAAGCTTGTATAACTTTACTGACCTCTGTGAACAGACATCCGAGTAGAGCCGGACATGTACGGGGTGAAAAAAGTGCTGTATAGTTCGCTAATGTATGTCGGCTAGATGTGTTTGTATATTTCATCCTGTTGTCTAGTGAATTAGGCAGTTGAGTGCTATTTCCTTTTCCATAGCTTTGCTGTGTAGCTGTCTTCCATGGCTGATTACCTCCCTTTCTTGTGTCTGCTACATTCTAAGTCAGTAGCAGGTAGCTACATCTATGTGGTTAAGCAACCCCAAAGACATTAATCAGATCACCATACACACAAATAGGGGAGACCTAATGTGATGTGCACAAAGAAGCGTGGTATGCCAGTTACCTCCCAGAATACTGTGTTCTATTGCCATGTTTCGTTGTCATGTTTTTTAAGATGATGAATTAAATTTAGAAAGTTTTGTGCGTGTCAGTTTCAGATCCAAAGATTTTGTTGTTAGCTTTATCAGCTAAGATATATACCATTTTTGATGTTTACACAATACAGCTTTATCCTTTACCTTGTTGTACTTTAACACACAGGACTTTCGATGTCTACAAAACTATTAATCCTTCATAAAACAAATGGAAATCACTTTCTATATTTAAAGTATTGAAAAATATTTGTTCATTAAGTAGACAACATTCACAATGAGTGTCAACGATAATATGTAACATACTATTGATATGAAGCAGAATTTATTATCTTGCTCGATCTTATGGCCAGCTTTTAGTCGAAAGACTTGTTATTATTTATATCTCAATGAAATATATAGTTGATCTCACTGTCAAAGATTATCAAATGTATTACAGAAGAAAGTTATATTTATGTATTAAGGGTTTCCACTTTCTCAATTTATTTTTTTTTTGGGGGGGGGGATGTTTAATGTGTTGATTCTTTAAATACTCCAATGTTTAACCTACGTTTAGTTCAAGTAGTCAGATGCTTATGAAGTCAGGTTTTCGGTAAAATTTCAAAGTTAAAGAGGAATATATATATGTATATGATATTTACAGTGTGTACATCATAGTGCAAAAGTATATGTGCTGTAAGTAGTTACCATAGAGTATATGATACAATTATGAAATGTACATATGTAAATAGCACAGAGGTTTTAGCTTTGTATTGTGTGACTGGTTTGCCCCCAGTCTAGTGTTATGTAGACTGGCAACTCTCCGATTCCTCCTGCAGGCTTCCTGTCCTTCTGTATGTGCTACGTTCATGTAATAGCAGTATCACTTGCTGGACGTGGGGTATGTGTGTGATGGAAGGAACACAAAAACTTAGTTGACCATCACTTTGTTGATATTATGGTTTCCTCGGACATGTGCCTACCAGGGTCTTAACTATGTAGGTTATCTAGGAATCTAGGCTGTTGAATGCTAATTGTTATCAAATTTTGTAAGTTGTAAATGTGGCTAATGCTCTTTTGCATTAGCATATTTTGTAATAAAAGAAAAGAATAAAAGTGGTTGTTTTTATTTATAACGTTTGTATGAAATATAATACTGTAATGGCACCGAATATGAAGACTACAGATGAGGAACATATTGCCGACATCATGACAGTTTCCTAGAGCTCTCCATGTTCATGGTGACCTTGAAGCTGCTCCATGTCACGTTTCATATGCCCACTTCTATACAAATCCAAGCAGAAGGATACTAAACTCTTGAGCTATTAAAACCGAAATTAAAACCCTCTGTATTAATTCCTGATTTACTGTCAAGTCAAGAGGCAGATTTCTTCCTCAGTTAACATTCTGGCCCTATAGCTGGAGCTTGTGTGCTTGACCATTTAATTATGTTCCCATGCTTGTGGTAAAAGTCTAAGATCTTCAGAACAAACCTGGGGAGATTTAAGTCCATCAGCTGTTTCATCTATCCGTTTACATCTACGTGTTCATTTTTTTAATTACGACATAGGTTCGGGATGTATTCAAGTGCGTATCTGGATTGTCAAAACCGATCAATCCAGTGTTTTTTCCTGCTCACAAGTTCGTCCAGCTTTCTTGTGTATTCTCACAGTTGCAGTCAATAATACAGGCTAGGGTATCTGCTTCCTACCATCCAACTGTGGGATTAAATGCATTGTGTGAGATAGGATGCGCTTAAATGTTTTTGAAATTTTAGTATAAATTGTATATTTCATTGTATATTTCATTTTACATACTTAGCCTATCTCACAAGCAATATGCCCAACCAACCATCCCCACATCTTAGTTCCTCTAGCCTATAGCTCTAAGAAAGAGAATGAGTTGGTAGAGAGATGCAACATGGTCAAAGCGTGGAAGGTTACCATGTACGAGAGAACAAAACTGACCCATAGTTAAAGCACGTTTCCCAAAAGGATGGAAGAAGAAAGAAGATATGCATAGTGTGAGATGGGATAATATATATATATATATATATATATATACTGAACTGCAAAAGAAACATCACCCCAAGTAACATTGCATGAAAAGTAATTGCATGGGTAATTTTTGGCAAAGTTTCTAAAATTTAACATTACATTGGCCGGAAAAATGAAATTTGATGATAAAAAAACAAAGCAGATGACAATAAAACCGATCGCCCAAATGCATCACGGCAACGGCCATGGTAACCTGATGCACGTGAGTTCCATGCAAATTGAAATGCACATGTGTTCCCCTTATAAAAATCCACCCAGATCTGATAACATTCATTCTTTATTGAATTGTTACCACATGCCAAGATTGACAATAAATCAGCGACACCACGCCCTAAGACGATTGCAAGCGGGACAAACCGCCCAGCAAGTAGCCAGTGCATTTCAAGTCCACGTAAGGACCATATACAGGCTCCAGCAATAGCGGTACCAGCCCACCAACACTACAGGTGACCGCCCAAGTAGTGGAAGACTTAGGGTCACCACCCGACGTCAGGATCGTCAGATTGTGCGATAGCATCTTCAAGATCACTTTGTTACTGCTGCGGAAACTGCTCGACAGACCATGGGGACAAACCAGCAACACGTTAGTGTGGACACGATTGTCGACGATTGACGAGCAGACACCTCCACTGTCACAGGCCACACCGAGGACCCATTCTGACACCACATCATCGCCGGGACGGTCTTCAGTGGGCAACACGGCACGGACATTGGTGCCACCAGCAGCGGAGAAGAGTCCTCTTCTCAGACGAGAGCCGTTACTGTATCTCAACAGCAGATGGCAGAGAGAGAGTCTGGCCACAATGTAGGGAACACTATTCGGAGAGACTCGTAGGGTGGTCCGAGCATCATGGTGTGGAATGGAATTGGTCTAGCACAGAGGGTCGGCCCTGTGGTCTTCCAGAACATCAGTCCAGGGAGAGGCAATGGTGTCACAGCAGCTCGGTACATTGATCAAGTCTTGAGACCACACGCCAGACCTCATTTAGCACGTCGCCGCAACCACGAGTTTCAGCATGATAACGCCCATGCCCATACTGTGAGAGCAACAAGAGACTTCCTCAAGCTGAATGGCATCAGAACCATGCAGTGGTCTGCCCTCAGTCCCGATTTTAGTCCCATTGAGCACCTGTGGGACGAGATTCAAAGACAGCTGAATGACGTCCGACCAAGGCCGACAACTGCAGCTGAACTGTGTCAGGCGTTCCTCAGAGTGTGGGCTCAAGTGCCAATGGTCTTCATCAATCGCCTCATCCATTCTCTGTATGACGTTGCACAGCAGTCATCAAATGCACATGGCGGACACACAAGAAACTGACTTGTGATATCATTTTCTCAGAGATTAGTGTTGTGTTTCACTTTAAGAACATTTGACACTTTAATTTCAACCTTGATGATCAGTTTTGCCATGTTTAATCTTTTCAATATGTCTCAAAGTATGTTTACAGTGTTTGGACAAATAAGGTTTCTCATATATCTATCCATGGTGATGTTTCTTTTGCAGTTCAGTATATATACACAATAATCCCAAAGTGCACAATAAGATTTTTTCAGTTCCAAAACCAAAATGTGTTTCATATATCCACTTTTTCTACATATTTTATCTAACATATCTTAGAGTAGAAAGTTTTGTATTGTTGCAAATATATATTCATTTGCAATCTTATATTGACTGGACCTCCTACTGCCTTGAGATGATGAGTGGATGTGAGTGGTGCTCCAGCCCTTTTCCATGCATTTAGCAACTAAACATTATGTACTCTAGTGTTTCAAACCATCTGCAGGATTTGCCGCATGCATGCACACCTCAACATTTGCTAAGGACCACATCTTTGACTAAGATGACTATTTTGGTCCTAAGCAAATGTGATATATATATACTCCTCACGAAAAGTTAAGCAACAAATCTATTATGTGTCAGTCCATGTTCATATATTCAGCAATACAAAGAAAGAGCACAAACACACATTGTCCTCAAAGGGAACTGAAAAGTGTTTATGCCTAATAGGTTTACAAATGATCAAAAACAGTATCATGAAAACAGTCGTGCAAAATGTGCTGCACTGAAAGATGAAAATCTTTAAATTTGAGTTTAAGTCATTTTGAAACAATGATCCAATGTTCAGTAACGTGTATGTCCACCATTGGCTTGAATGCAAGCTTCTACACGTCTTGGCATTGTCCAGATAAGCCTATCACGTGTCTGTTGTGGAATGTTCTGCCATTCTCTCCTTAAGGCCTGTTCAAGTTGATCCAGATTCTGAGGACGAACATGAAGACCATAAACACGCCTACCAAGAATGTCCCATGCATGTTCAATGGGATTAAGATCCGGAGACCTTGCAGGCCAGTCCATATGCATGATGTTGTTGGTCTGAAGAAGATCAGTGACAACTCTTGCTCGATGTGGACGAGCATTATCATCCATAAAGATGAAGTTAGGACCTGCTTGTTGTGCCAGGGGAATGATCACAGGTGTGACAATCTCGTCCCTGTACCGTACTCCAGTCATGGTACCACGTCTGATGACCACAAGATCAGTTCTGTGTCCAACCCTGATGCCAGCCCAGATCATCAAACTTCCACCTCCGTACTGGTCGTGTTCAGCAATTGTACAGTTGGCGTATCGTTCATTACAGTTTCCCCACACACGTGCCCTACCATCGTTGAAGTCAAGGCAGAATCTTGACTCGACTGTGAAGAGAACGTTACGCCAGCGATTGACCCTCCAGTTACGGCGTTGATTGGCCCAAGCAAGTCTCTGTTGTCGATGGTGTGCAGGCAGTGGGATACGTCGTACTGGTCGTCTGGACCTCAGATCCTGAGCGTGAAGTCTGTTTCTTACTGTCTGTGTTGAGACTCTGTTTCCTGCAACTCTCTGAAGGTCATTCTGGAGAGATCTGGCCGTAGTAAACCAGTTTCTCCGGGCTAGGGTGGCTAAATACCGGTCCTCACGAGGAGTTGTCACCCTTGGATGACCTGTGCGTGGTCTGTCTGTCATCAGTCCAGTTTCATGGTATCGAGTTATCGCTCTTGAGATGACACTGCGGTGAACATTAAAATGATTGACCCCCCTGTACCATTCCAACAATCTGAGCAACCTCAGTTGGCGTTAAGTGACGCCTAGCCTTGTCTAAAGTGTTAATGTCGACAAATTGCCCTTGCTGGCAGTTTTTAAGCAATCAGGGTGCATGGGTGAAGTGTGTAAAACATGCATGTCGTGCATTTTGCATGTGTGTTTTGAGGGTGGTTGTGTTCAGGCAATGTTATCAGTGTTATCAGGAACATCTACATGGAAAAGGCTTTAAGTCGAGTATTCGTAGGTAATTCTCCTGCCTGAATTTGTTCTCAATGGATGGCATTCAACACTGATGAGAATGTTGCACGGAAAATAATACTTGTTGCTTAACTTTTTGTGAGGAGTATATATATTTGGACAGAGCCTACCAAGTCCCATGTGGACCAGTTACATGTCTGCTGCAGCAAGGGAGCAACCAGATGGAGCTACCTAGTACCTATCACTGTGTTGTTCAGTTACAATTCCCTGTCTAGGTCGCTGTAGAGACCTACTAGCTATATCTAAGACTTCTCAAACAACTCAGATGATGATGAATAAAGGATTTAACTGGGTCCCTTAAAATGCATCTAGTTTTGTTTTACTTATTATACAGAGTATATATAAATGAAGTCAACTGTATTGAAGATTGAGATTCAGGAACAAGCCAAAAACAATAACATCAAATAACAATGACTAGTTGCCAAATTTTTATTCGGAATATAATTCAAAAACACTCTATAACAAGTTTGAAGAGAACTTCGGAGATAAGGACAGACTGATCAGAACTCCACCTGTGCCACTCTGCGTTCTACCTCATGCGATGTGACATACTCTCCAACCTGGTTCCTCTTTATTCTCTGGTTTGGTAAACTTGTTTGCCTGGACTCTGTCAGTTCAACTTCATCATCAAAGACAACCTGAAACAAAGGAGCTGTTAGACTGGCGTGTGACTATATCACTTCTTAGAACACATGGTACCCTCTGACTACAACATTCTATATTGTCATGTCTTCAGCTCGGAATGAAACACTTCAACAAGTTCATGCCAGAAGTACATACAAAACTTTATTTTGATCAGTTATAGCTAATGTGTAGCAGCACAATACTTCCATGCTGGCCCCAGTGCAGAATCTGGGGCAGAATTTGTCTTAAAGGCCAAGTAAAGTGAAAAACTTAATTGAGAAATTGTTGCAAATATCAGTCTGCCTAGATACATTAAATCAATTCCCTAGAAAAAAGTTATCAGATCATTCGTTAAAAAGTATTTCAATGTCTGAGTGAAAGTACTGAAATCACCCACCCCGTAATCAAATTCCAATACAATTTTTTTGGGGTGTGTGGCTTAAAGCTACCGGCCCAACCGGTCAGGATGTGTGGTCAATCAAGAGCAAATCTAAAAGTGTTGCTATTTCTGTTACCCCCGGTAATGTAGCATAAATAACAAAATCTTACAAAAATAACATTGCATACATTGTTGAGTGTTCGAAACAGCCTTTGCTGTTGACATTGTGAATAAATAAAGTAACAATGTCTTTATGAAACTAGCTTTTTATGCTTATGGTGGGGGTGGGGTGACACGCCGTGATATAACTGGAATACTGTTAAAAGCGGCGCTAAACCCAACTCACTCACTCACTGTTTGGGTACCATAAACCACACACTGCCATCAGACCTATTTCACACCATGCATGCCTTTCGGAGACATCTTCAACATTGTTACTAGAAAGGCATAAATTGACATAAGTTGTGTAATGAAAAGGATGAGCAGACAGATTAAAAAATCTGAGGCAGTAGGCAGACTTGGTGCCGACCCAATCATTGGAATTGAGCAGAAACCCGTTTTGACCCATGGCAGATTTTTTCGTTTAGGGGATGAATTTTGTCTGTTTTACACTAACTATTTCCAACTTTCCATTTCAAGTTGCTATGTTGAGTTTACTTGCCCATTTAAGAGTAGATTACTGATGATTGGGTTGTTTTGTGAGCAGGATCAAGTGTTTTCATCATGTTCAAACTGCATGGATCATTGTTCATGTCTGGTCTTGGCTTGATTGTTTAAAGGCCGTCATGAAATATTTGGAATATTACTTTCAACAACTTCAAACTTCAAAGATTCACTGTGCACTACTCACCTGCCTCCCCATGTTCTCTCCTCTCCCTGCTGCTGCACATCCCAGCCACAGGACCAGTGCCAACAGTACCAGCCCCATCAGCAGGTAGCTCAGCAGAGCGGGGTAGAGGTGCAGAGACAGGAGCAGACCCCCTGCCTGCACCATGCATAGGCTCACAGTACACACCACCTGATGACACGCAGATTAGCAAGCACTTTTATTGGACTTTTTAATACATCACTCTCTCTCTCTCTCTCTCTATATATATATATATATCATAATCTTGTAGCCAACTATTACAACACACTCTATTGTTTCACTACATGATATCTCGATGTTTTCTTATTTTTTCTGTTATTTCTTGCATTTAGATGGTTTATAAGTGAGATAAAGCACTACGCAACAATTTCATCAAGCATTTCAGGAGTTCTGATTTCAAGTTGAAATATTATTGGATAATAATAATTCACCATAACATACACTAACATATATGACCCTGCAAGCCAAATTAGCTATGAACACAAAAGCTGTGAGGTATTTTGAGATGTTCATGGTTTGTCTTGTCACGAAACATAATTCATAGCCAGCTTTGCCTTGTCACTAAACATACCTCCAGCATCAGATGGATATTCAATGGCAGCCTCTTCCATGTACATTTTCTGTGACACGAAAATAGATGTTAATAACTTACAACAGTTGAAAATGACATTCAAAGGTATATCAAAGTTGCTGTCATCATTGAAACTATTACATTTTCCACATAGTCTGGGAGCCAAAAGACACCCAGAAATACAATCTACTAAGCATTTAGAGCAGAATTGTTATACTACCATTTTATGCACATTTCGAATGACTGCAGGACTTGCAAAGCATGTGTACCGTCAACTTGGTGTCGACCGATAGTTTCCAAATCTTTTCATGTTTTTATTCAAGGTGCACAAATGATTTGATGCACCTCGCAAGGCAAGACCCGTTTTATTACAACAAAGATCTTGATAATCGTCAGATTGTCTTGATTTAGCTTTGCCGTATTGTTTGAATTAAATGCAAGTGATAAGAGACATGGAATCTGGTTGGTCAGTAGGAAGGACAAAGAAGGGACGTAACTTGTTATAGCTAATGGTGGCTCTACAATGGAGCCACAAAATTCCAGCGTATTTTGGCAAGAGTCCAATTAGAAGATAAACTTACTGTGTTTTTAATGGAGAGCTAGATTACCTGTAGATTTAACCACACTTTATTGAGTTAAAAATATGATGAGGTCACCAAATTGGTTGTCTCAATCAAAGGTTACCTGATTGTCCAATCGGATTCAAATAATTTCCACATCACATTCATGGTAGAATACAGTTTGAGGAGGAGGTCATTTTAAGTCAAGTGCAGTTGCTCTTCTGGTTTCTTCTTATTTGTGTTTCTAAATCCAATATATCATTTTCAATTTCTTCATATTTTTTCTCTTTTACTTTTTTCAAGTGTGTGGAATATGAGAAAAGTTTCAACAAAAGTTGTGACCTTGTGCCCCCTTGATGCTGTATATAGGCTGCAACTGTGGTGTTGTCTGTCGCAATTAGTACTGACGAGAGGTGTCTCCAGACAGCTGATATGCATCTTCCTATCCTGGCCTGACCATTTCCCTTGAACTGTGACATCATCCATGTGAGCTCTCCATCCCTCACCTGATGTGTCTGTGTAGAGGAGGTGGAAATATGAGAGGTATACCTGGTATCTCATTGTGACGTAGTAGCCACCAAAGTAGTTCTGACAGCAGAGCTGATGGAGTCTGAGTTAGGTCATCTAGTTTTAGCTCTTTGGTAGTGTACATCCAGGCTTGTAAGTGATGTAACTTCAGTCTGCCTCTGTAGGGTAGATCCTAGAGAGATGTAAGCATGCCAGGACATGACATCCACCATATGGTTTGGTCATGTGCGCTGAAAATCATTACTCTTGCTCTTAAGTATCCGTCTTCTGGATGTGCTAGGAAATGTTTTAGAAGCTTAAATCTTGCCCCTGTATGAACAATGTCTTGAGTAGGGACTAACTCTGACTTGAGAGTAGTTGAATGACGAACACTGAGGTCTTCTTGATCAGTCGATAGGTAGGTGTCAATGTAGACATGCATTCTTACTAGCTTTAGATGAGCAAACCTGATGACAGGGGTGGTTATCAGCCATGGGCTGATTGATATGGCGAATGATAGAACTTGAACTTGGACCTCTGCCATTTGACTGCGAATTGAAGATAAGGTTGACAGCTTGGATGAATGGGAACATGAAGACAGGCATCCTGTAAGTCTTATCATCCAATCTCCTAATCTGGGGGAGCTCCATGGCTTTTTGACTGACTTCATTTGGAACTTGTGAGGGCATACTAGATAGTCCTTGTTGAGTACTTTTAGATGAATTATCATGTGTATTTCTGATGTGTTTTCTTTGGTAGTGAGAAGACCAGAGAGAGAAGCCCTTGGTGGTGTCTGACTCTTTTCATGCACTGATGACTCCCTTGACTAGAAGCTGAGTGGCTGGTGGTATGCACTGGTGGTATGCTTTCTCTGTAGGTGCTATATCCTTGATAAGCTGAAACATTGCCCCAATATAGATGGTGTCTTGAGTAGATGCCTGCTCTGACTTGTCCGGGTGAACCTGGAAGCCCGGGTATGCGAGTAGTTCAATGAAGGCGACTGCATTCTGCTTGATCTGTGACTTGTCCTGAGAGTCGTTGATGTAGCCTTGTAGTCTTACTACCTGAAGATGAACAAATCTGATAACAGGGGTGGTAATCCGGGTAAATAGCATTGGAGTGATCAATATGCCAAACGGTAGAATGTTGACCTGGAACTTCTGCCTGTTGACTGCAAATTGTAGAAAAGGTTGACTCCTTGAATGAATGGGAACATGAAGATAGAGGAGTAAGTCTAGGCTTATCATCCTCATCTGGGAGTGTTTCTTAACTTCTGGACCACAAGACTTTGACATTGTAGATGTACCCTCTTCTTACAACCTCGAGGGCCAGACGTATTCTGTGATTGACTTCCAATTTTTGGTGTACTGCATCAGATGACCCCTGAGTGGTCCAGGGGTTCCGGTAGTGTTGAATTTCAGTAGCCTGCAATCAATGTCCGCAAGACAGGCAAGGACAACAGGATTTGGAGATATGTGTTGAACTTGAGACGAGTCACTCATATCTTGTCGAGACTACTGCAACGCTGCATAAGGTCTGTTTAGGTGTAGTTGGCCTTGGGACGTGCTGATCTGTCTTGCCGGGATGGGGCACGTGAGGAGTCACGCCTTGATGCCACATGCCTTTACTTGGGAGGATCTTGCTGAAGTTGATAATCTGCTGTATGTTTCTGCATTCTGGAAGCCAGGCTGATGGTGGGGGGAAAGAGATGACGTCTCTGATGCTGGCAGCAAAACAGTTGATGTAGGTAATGATGTTTAACATCTGCTTGTTAACAGCGTCAAGGTCCTTGAACCTGGCCATCTCAACTTGCATCTTGGTAGACAGTGATCTCCTGATAGTCTTCGTTGATGGTAAGATATTCTGCCAGTGACAATCGTGAGCATTGTTGGCTCTGGATGTGTGCAGTGATAGATCTGTCTATACATTGTCAGTATAAGAAGGGAAGGGGTGTGTGCTGAACTCCTCTGACTTAGACACCGGCTCTTCGTAGCCCACACGCTCAAAAAAGGATGCAAGTAACTCTAACCTATAACTCACTTCTTCACATGGTCTGTGTCATTCTCCTTTACAAAATCACACAACAAGAACCTCAATCCAATGCTTCTAGGAGACAGCATCAGTTGACATCGGGACTATTTATATACTTGTGTGGGTGAGAAGCTAGCATCAGTTGACATCGGGACTATTTATATACTTGTGTGGGTGAATAGCTAGCATCAGTTGACATCAGGACTATTTATATACTTGTGTGGGTGAATAGCTAGCATCAGTTGACATCAGGACTATTTATATACTTGTGTGGGTGAGAAGCTAGCATCAGTTGACATCGGGACTATTTATATACTTGTGTGGGTGAGTAGCTAGCATCTGTTGAGTAGTATAGGTAATGGGGATTCTGGCTCACTTCTACTGGAGTCAGATTTATATACCTATACCACTACTACAGAGGGAATTTTTTATGCAAAAATGATGATGCGATTCAACGATCGTCATGACATTAAACTAAATTGTAATAAAAATATTCTCTATTATTTTTACTCATACGTATACCATTATTTTGAACAAAGAGATATTCAACATTTTTACTAAGTTCTTTGTTCATTTTACTAGGAGACCAGACTATATACTCTTCTTGGTAATTGGAAAGAAACAATTGATGTCAGTATTTGGTTGGTTTGATATCAATGATATAATATATACCTTGTGGTAATTCTCTCCATTTGATAATTTTGTCTCTGAGCATAAATGCTTCGATAGCTTTTTCGAGTTCTTCCTTTGTTGGTTTGTAATTCTCCATTATTATATATTTATGTAAGCAATCGTTTAAATGTGATCCAATGATAGGAAGCTATCTATTTTTAATCTCCAACTAGTTCTTTGGTTTTGGCACGGAATAATTGACGCGCTTGTTGTCTCCCTTGTTCTATGAACTTTTTTTTCTCGTCTTCACTAATACCACTGGTCTTAAGAGAATTTGATCGAATCTCCTGCATCATTACGTTGTCACTTTAAATAATTTGGACCCCCTCAAGGGTTGCAATGGGTGATACTCTCGTATAAATAATACTGCAACGTTGACGTTGGTGTTTCTTGAGCCATTTAATTGATAGACCTGGTAATATTTCAAAGGCATCTTCCGGTACATCTCCAAACAAGACTTCAATAATAAGCGTAGAAAGATTAGGTATTGCACTCAAGTTATCTTTAATATCATTGAATTCAGTAACCAAATTTAAACTAACATTTTTAACTGCCGGACGACTCAATAACATATGACCTGGGTTTTCTGGCAGGGGAGAGACTAACACACTTTTTCGTTTTGATGGGATATAAGCCCCGAGTACAATCCCACTATTCATTATCTTAGTTAATTGATGTCCCTTACCCATCATCACATAAGGTGGGTTAATGACGATATTCAGTAGCCACTCGATTTTTGCTTCAATCATAGTCCTCCATTTATTATCATCATTGCGAGTAAGATTGTATGAAGTGTTTTTATTGAGTCTACTAACGTCGACATCGTTTAAATCTAGATTAACTGGGAATGCAACTTCTTTCCGCTTGTATACATTATCTTGTAAGAGTAAAGCGTATAACTTGCCATGGGTACCGGGTTTACTGAATCCTTCTGTGTCTCTGAGATCAGAAAGCGCAATTGTATTACATTGTCTGAGTGTTCCAGGGCCTGATAAATCAGGTAATATGGAGTGTTACACTCAAGTATCCTATATGTACAGGTTGATGTTTTACATCTAATACAGAAATTTTGAGGTCTGAAATAATACCCCGCTTTAATTTTTTATATTGTAATGTTGAGAAAGATTCCGTTCTACCACTATTATATTTTTCTTCTTTTACTGGAATAGCTCTTAGCAGAGTTGAAGGACTTTCGAGTTGAATATTATCCTTTGTACTGATCTGATCAAGATGGATGCACAACTCTTTATAGGGAACTAAATCGGGCAATTTAACTCCA